CAAAAGCCTGGAAATGCTCACATCACTGAAGCACCTGCACTTATATAGGCACTGCTAGGAGGGGAGAGAGTTGGGCCCATATATAGAAAATTATTTTTCTGTGGGGGTACTACTGGCTTCCATTAGAGCTGCCTGTGCTTTAATCTGGCTCTGAACCCCAATGAGGCAGAATCAACCATGAGAAGTCAGATAGGGGGCTAAATCACTGTCACAGAAAGCTGACACCAGGGAGACAAATGGGAATTGGCATTAGATCTTTTGATATAACAAAAAAATGCAAACCCTCAACTCTTCTGTATTACACATGTGGCATATCTTTAGCTGAACAATAATCTGATGACTGAGGTATGAATTTGGTGTTTTGGTTGGATGACATTTGAATCCCATTCCTGAAGTAAATGAACTGATTAGTTGCAGAAAGAGGGTAGTGTGCTGGTTTACTCTAAGTTTAAAATCTTGATATTAAAATAGGGATAATGACAGACTCAATGCACATAGATAACATGTTATACATCACCATGTACCTGTGTACATTCACTGGGTCCCATGATCTGATTTCACAAAAAATTCACTGAATACACTTAATGAGAAGTAAGAAGCATAGGTATATTGGGTTTGATTGTTTTGCACATGTTGGCATAGCTTGTCAGTCTGCATTTGAGAGGCAAGAACTTTTTGTTTTGTCTTTTTTTAAATAAAACCAAATCTTACAAAAGATTTCCATTGCTTTTTTCATCAGCCACTAGGTGGTGGTGTTTGCTATTCATGCTGTACTTAAAACAGAAAAAAAATTTAAGTCACTTGTTACTGAATGTGATGGTATATCATTTTATGATAGAAAGTTTGCTTCTTGCCCTAAAGGAACCTGTACCATTGATCATCTTATTTTCTCTTTGACGTATCTTCTTCTAGAGATGCACAAAACCCCAGATCTGAACTTTGTTGCTCAGGGGTCTATCTCTATTTTCCCCTCTGTGTTTTATCAGATTCTCTCAGCCCACTCATATGTTGGTGTTCATTGCATATTTAACAATAAAGAGGAAGAATGGTCTTGTGATTAAAAGCATGGAACTGGGATTCAGGTGATTTGGGTTCAATTTTCAATTCTGCTGCAAACTTTCAATATGATGTAGGGGCAAGTCACTTAATCTCTGCCTCAGTGCCCTATTTGTAAAATAGGGATAATGCTTCCTTTTTGTCTTTTTTATTTAGACTGTAAGTTTCTGCCCCACAGACCTCTCTCTTACCATGTATTTGTACAGTGCCTACCACCAGGAGGCCCTGATCTCAGCTAGACGTAGGTAGTACTGTAATAGAAAAACAAAATAATATGGCTATTTTGTAGGAATCTGGAATTTTAGTTACGATTACCAAACAGTCTTCTCTATTGCACTCCTCATTGTTCTGAGTGCCCACTAGGTATCTTGTAATATAATACATAATAAGCAAGATGACAGGATTCATGCTCCAATTTTTACATGATAAATGTACAAATGTTAAGAATACATGATTTCAGTCTAAGTATTTTGAAGCTGAACTGCTCAATCACTCTTTACTGGTGAAAGGAATAAACATTCTTATTGAAGAAAATGCCCTGTTCACTTATATAAAAGGAAATTATTATTTGAATTAAATTATGATATTACAATTACAGAAGAGGCATTTTTAGATTTAAGAAATATGCTTGCCTTGCTAAATCTCAGATCAGATTCCATTGTTCTTTGCAGGTGAAATTGCCCCGTGCAGAGTTCTAGGACCTAAGTGGTGCATAGATTGATTTTTTTTTTTTTTTTTTTGGTACAAGTTGTCTGCACTGAGATGAATTTCACAATTTGTGTCAAGAACTAACTCTGACTTGACTGGTTGAGCAGCTATGCAGGCTTACTGGAAAAGTGAGAGAGAAAAAATGGAGTTAGCTGTCTAGAGATTGGAGCAATTTTGCACTTGAAAGCAAATCATATCAACGCTGGCTTTTTAAAAATACTGATAATAAATACTGCTTGCTGGAGTCTGTGAATACTGGTGGAAACATGTGTCCAGACTGGATGAAAGTACAGAACATGACGACGTGGATACTAGTGAAAATATGATGTATTTGGAATGTGAGTTATCTCCAAGAGGAAGATGATAAAAACTGAGGTTTTTTCCTGCCTAGAAGACTGAGTATGAATAGATTTACCTTTTTAAATGGCAAGAAATTACTCTGTTTTCACTACAATCTTCTTCACCTTCTTGCAATAGGATGAAGTTGGAATTAATTTAAAACCAGTAACTTATCAATTTCAAACACAGTACTATGTTCCACTGTGAAGTCTATTGACATGTAGATCAATTTGAAAAAAGACCAACAGTACTGCCTCAGGATGCAGTAGCTAAGTCAAATAGTGGGGCTATTGTCTTTGCCATAAACCTTACACAATGCTGATCATTAGTGGCATGTGAATGCTATAGCAGTTTTTCAGAAGTTCATTACTTTGGCATATACATTTGCTCCATGCTGCATTTTGGAAGACAAGATTTGCCTACCATAGCAGCAACATATTTTAAACTACGGTTTCGCTGTTTGCCATACCATGATTAAGAAATGGATTTTTTTTTAAAGAACTGCGCCACAATAGTCTAAATTAATTTAGCCTGGTTATGACACCTGGTAGTATATTTTTACATATGTACTTAAAGACTTTAATGTACATTAACAAAAAAGTATGTTTCTGTAGTCATGGCATAAGGCGAATGATCACAGAACTGAACTCCAGATGTCTGAACTGAAATAAAATATGAACGTAGTTTGGGAACAGGTGATGTATTGACTTGTGTGTGTATGTATCAATACCCTCTACACAATGGAATGTCAGATGCACTTTGGTGCCTTGAGCCATTGTCTAAGGACCAAATTGTCTCCTGGGAATTTTTGCCATTTAAACTTACAATGGAAACTCAGTACCTACTTTTAAGCCGACAAAGACTCACTATTCCCTACTGGAGCTAGTTATGAAGGAAGTTGAGGAATTTTGTCAAAAAAAGAGTCCTTTCTCATCAAATTCATTATAGGAAAGTAGATAGGTTAGTTAATGGCCAGGTATTCAGTATTAGAGAGCTCCCTGAAGTGAGAGACCAGTCTAATGTCCTTGGACTGTTAAACTGTTCTTCCACTTTTTTTAGACCTTTCTCTCCTCTTACCTGTCATATGCACGTGTAGAAAATAAGGTGCATTTATTAACATACTACTTCTGTCTTGTACACAGTATTAAACTTGTTCTGGGATAAATTGCTCAGATTACGTAGTTGGACACCCATGCAAATTTTGTGAAGAGGTGTGCTTCTAAAACTCCTTGTCTTTGGCAGCTCCCCTGGAAATTGATCCTACTTAAATATCTGTAGAATCTATTTGTTTACTTAGGTTAAACACATTTCTCAACTAGCCAGCTAATCTGTGGGAGATGTTGATCACTACTGCTCCTCTGGCCTGTAGGAATGGACCTGAAAGTACCTGAAATCTCCTACCTATAAGGAACTGTTTTTCTCTTCAACACAGCTGTATGTGTGCACACGGAAAAGTGTGTTTATTTGGAGAGAAATATGTAACATATAGCTGAGATTTTTTTAAAAGTTATTTTGATAAAAAGATTTGAATTCCAAGCAGAGTCCAGATGAGGAGGGGGAGAGAAGAGAGCATAAATAGTGCTCTAGTTTGGCTCCATTTTAGGGACAGCGATGTTTACATGCTTGGGACTTTGTAAGGAAGGGAAAGGAAAGAAGTGAAGGAGATGCAAAGATACTGATGCAGATCCTCAACTATTACATTGCTTCACTTGGTATAGCTAAGGTTAGAAGTAAAGAACATAAGGCTGACTTTAAATCATATTTACACTCCCTCCTACAACAGCCATTTGTATCATTAATATCATTAATATCAAGCAAATATCAAGCAAAGACAGTTTGTCTTAGAAATAAGGTACCACACATATAAGTTCATGAATAAGATTAGCTGCACAATTCCTCCAGCACAATAAGTTGCAACTGCCCACATAATGTTGTTACATAATGTTCTGCCTTGCAGAACAAAAAAAAAAAAAAAAGATCTATACTTAATGTGGGTAAGAAGTCTTGTGTAGCTGATCATAAATCACCTGGCTTCTTTGTTTTTGCTGAACACTTGTCCTTTATTTGGTGTCTAATATCTGTTCCCCCCCTCCCTGCCCCCGTCTATCTATAAGTAGGATAAATGTTTTCTTCAATGACAAGAAAAGGTTGATATGCTGCAATACACATAAAAACAAAAGAGCTGCCATACTGCTTCAGACCATGGTCTAGCTGACCCACTCTGCTGTCTTTAGCAGTTGTGCACAGTAGAGCTCCCGTGGGAGTGTACAGAAAAGAGCCATTATGGCAATGATCCACCCGTCTTCCATCCCCAGCTTCTTGTAGGGAGAGGTTTCAGGTAGTCCAGCCCATGTTTGGGGCAATCTTGGCTAACAGCCGTAGCTGGATCTATTTTCCATGAACTTATCCAGTTCTTCTTTTAAACTGGTCGTACTTTTGGCCATCAACCAGCACATGCATGGCAATGAGTTCCACAGGTTCCTTGTGCAGTGGGTGGAAAGTGGACACGTCCTCTCGTTTATACCAAACCTGCTGCCTAATTAATGACAGGGCGGAGCCCTGGTTCGTGTATGGCGGTGACCGCACCACAAAACTAAAGCGTGCTGGGATGCCCGTTTCACAGCCGTTGTCTCCGTGAAGCCTCAGGAGGGGTGACCTGCTGGGGGTGAGCATGCCCCCCGCAAACGGGGCAATGTCTTTGCCGTTTTCCAGTAAGACACCCAGCTAGCGGACCGGTCCAGGGGGTGATATTTTCTACTTCTCCCTGGCCGGGGACAGCCACGATCCTCCCCCCGAGGGCTGCTGGCCCATGCTGCCGGCGCTACGCCCTGGGGAGCTTCCGCGCGCCGCGCAGCAGGAGGCGCCGGCTGCCCGCTGCTGGGCTGTGGGAGAAGTGGGGCCGCTGCCCTCACCCAAGATGGCGGCCGGGGCTCAGGCGGGCGGGCCGGTCACCTGTTGAGGTAGAGGCAGCGCGGCGCCTCATTGGCTCCGACTGCCCCAGTCCGCAGTGCCTGCGCGGCGGGGAAAGGGTTAACGCCGGGGCCGGGGGCGGAGGCGGCGCCGTCAACCGAGGAGGAGCCCGCAGCGCCGCCCGGCTGGGCCGGGACAGGGGCCCCGCAACCGCCCCATGGAGAGCGAGGGCGCCGGCTGCAGCCGCTTGCCCGGCGCGGCGGGTGGGAGGGGCCCGGCAGGCAGCGAGCGGGAGCCGCACCAGCCCGGGGAGGAGGCGCCGCCGGAGGCCGAGTCGGACTGGAGCTTCATCGACTGCGAGATGGAGGCGGTGGCGCTGCGGGACCTGCCCACCGCCACCATCGCCTGCAACCTGGACCCGCGCCTCTTCCAGGACACCCTGTGCCGGGTGAGCGCGGGTTGGGGCCCCGGGGAGCTGCCGCGAGCCCCGCCGGTGCCATGGCGGCTCGGTCACTTTGTGGCCTCTCCCTTCCCTGCCGTCGGGGCGGCGGCGGCTGCCGGGGCTCGGAGCCGGGCGCTGCACTGGGGGGGGGGCGGAGGGCGCGCTCCGGCTCGCTGGGCTGCCGGAGGAGAGCTCGCCGCCCGGCCGCGGGCAGAGCAGGGAGAGCCGGAGCAGAAGCTGGCCGTGCCCCGGGGGTGCCCGTCGCTCCCTGCCTGGCGGCCCCGCTCGTGCTCGGCCGCTGGCCGGGGAGGCCGCGCGGGGGGGCTGCGGCACAGCCGAGGGCTGCCTGAGCCGGCTGCTCTCGTGGGGCGTCGCTGGCGGGCCGCGGCTCGGGCGTGGGGCGGTTGGGCGGCCGTTGGGAAGGCCGTTGGTGAGGAGCCGGTCATGCGGTGGGGGCCGGGCGTCTGGGTGGAACGTAACGTCCGCAGGCAGCTGGGAGGTGGGGAGCCCTTGGAGGCCGGTCGGTGAAGCATTTGCAGCACTTGCCTGGATCCTGGCCCCCCCCGCCCGGTCCCCTTCCAAGCGCTGCTTGAGAGCAAAGGCCGGTGACCCCCCGCATTCCAGCGGCGCCTGCTGGGGGGTGACCCTGTCCCACAGACTTCCTGTTGCAGAGATCCCATGCCCTTCTGTTGCAACTCCCTTGCATTAAACCAGCGGCCACTGTTGGCTGTGCCCGGTGATAGGCTATATTTTAACCTACGTGACCTTAAGAGGAATAATTCTCGAACTTAAACAAATATATGCAGGTAATGATTTTGATTTTTTTGGATAGCTGCTCCTCTGAGTGAAGATAGCGTGTGCTTAGTTAGGTGTCTTCAGGTTTGTGGCGAGGGTCCCTAACCTGAGGATTTAGTTCTAAAGAAATAATCAGTTTTTAAAGAAATGATTGCAAGCAGACCTTGACATCTTAATATACTAAACTCAGAACCTGCCTATACTCAGGGCTTGTTTACACTTAAAATGCTGCAGCGGCGCTGTTGTAGCGCTTCAGTGAAGACGGGACTTGTGCAGATGGGAGGGCTTCTCCTGGTGGTCTGGGTACTCCACCTCCCCAAGAAGTGGTCGCTTTGTCCATGGGAGAAGCCCTCTGGTCAACATTGCACTGTCCACAGTGGGAGTTAGGTTGGTGTAACTCTGTTGCTTGGGGATGTGGATTTTCCATCCCCCTGAGCGACAGTTATACCACCATAAATTCCTAGCATAGACCGAGCCCTACATGCTTTACTTCGCTTGTTTGAGTAGTCTCTTTGAAGTTGATGGTACTACTCACACAAGTAAATTTAAGCAAGTGAGTGAGTACATGTTTGCAGGATCAGTGCCTTCTGTTGTAAAGAGATCTTTGCCTATGTTACTAGTAATCCTTGGATTATTAAAAATGTAGAAAAAGATGCAAATCGGTTGTTTCATTTTGCTTTTATGCTCTTATTACTTGTAATGGCTGCTTTTCAAACACTGCAAGGGATTGTTTAGTTTTTAAATCAACTGTTTTTGCTGGATTAAAAACTTGAGGAAATATTTGTACTGGCTTTTATCTTTTGCAAAAGCATGTTTTTATAATATTCAGATTTAGGGGCCAAATTTAAGTGTCTTTTTTTTTATTTTATTTTATTTTTTAAAGTACAGGTACTGGTTGTCATGGCAGTAGACCAGTAGTAAGTCTCTGAGCTTCCAGATAATTACAATTCATTAAAGATGAGAGTTTACATTTTTAAAAACTGGCAACAGTATTAACCGCTGATTTCAGTGTTTACGTTTAAGGTTGTATTCACTTTAAAAGACTGTGTAGTTACATGAAAAGTTAAAACTTTATTTATCACTTAAGGCCTAGTATCCTGTTAGTGTGTCAGTGCCACTGATAAGTTATGCATGTGTCAGAGGATAAATAGACTTCTTAGTGTACATACTATTTTCAAGACTTAGTTTTCCTAAGTGCTGTAGGCATGGTGCCACCCTGTATTATAAGTGTTATGTAGATGAAGATGAGATTTAAATATGAGAATGAAGAATAGGTTTCAGTTTTGCCAATACTGGGACCAATAGCCATTAAAAACATCTGGAATTTTCAATCTTAGTTAATGTAGTAATAGAGATAAGGAAGATAAAACTTCTTTTCTATTGAAAAAGTACAATTTTTATAGTGCAAAATGTCAGATTGTGAGGCAGCATTGAATTTAAGAAATACATTTTAATGTAGGTTTCAGAGTAGCAGCCGTGTTAGTCTGTATTCGCAAAAAGAAAAGGAGGACTTGTGGCACCTTAGAGACTAACCAATTTATTTGAGCATAAGCTTTTGTGAGCTACAGCTCACTTCATCGGATGGATAAAGTGGAAGATACAGTGAGGAGATTTATATACACACAGACCATGAAAAAATGGGTGTTTATCATACACATTGTAAGGAGAGTGATCACTTAAGATGAGCTATTACCAGCAGAAGAGTGGGGTGGGGGGAGAGAAAACCTTTTGAAGTGATAATCAAGGTGGGCCATTTCCAGCACATTTCCAGGAGTTAACAAGAATGTCTGAGGAACAGTGAGGGGAATTTTAATGTAGCATGTCAACCAAATGATGCTTTATAAAATAGTATGAATGTTACACAATACCCCTGAAGAAAGGAATGAAGAACTTCCACTCCCTTTTAGGCGATGTCTACACTACAAACTTATGTTGACTCAAGTTACATTAGCATGTAGCCACTATCTCTAAGAGATAGTTTGACTCCTTGTGGCAGCGGTGTGTGTACTCGCAGTAAAGCTTGTATCAGTGCACTGTGTGATGCACCAGAGGTAGGTATCCCACTGTGCAACTTGCCACCATCCAGTACACTGTCTTTTGAGAAGTTCTGACACTGTGTGAGGGGCCCAGAATGAGTCAGGCAGGGGTGTCTGGGACCATGGGGTCAACTTCCTTTTTGCAACTGTCTCCATTCCATGGTGTTATCTGTATCCCATAATTTTCATGCTCTTTTTTTTTTTTTCAAAATCCCACAAACCTGCGTGACCCTCCTCGCTGTCTGACATCATAGAGCCTGCACAGCTCTGCACTATTATGAGCGTTACAAACACAGAGTGCATAATCCTGGAGTATTTGGAGAGCTACAAAAAGAACCAAATGAGTGGGGAACTTGGCTGTTTCTTGGGGGATGAATTGCTCACATCTTTAAGAATACAGAACTCTTCAGAAAGCTGCACCCAGGGACTTTCTTTCTCAATTGGTGGATTAATAGTAATTTTGGGCAATCCAGCCTACCCATTGCTCATGAAGCTGTACACCAGCTACCTGGACAGCACCAAGGAATGATTCAATTGTGACGAAGTGTGGCATTTTCTTAAGATTTTGAACGAATACTGCGTGCCTCAGTTTCCCCTATGTGTTGCATGATTAACTATGTGGTGAAATGGTGTTTGATCTTTGCAGAGACTCCTAGAGGAACAGGTGTGATTGTCTAGCTGCCTGGGCCCAGACAATGGCTAGACATTCAGTAACTTAGAAACTGATGGCGGGGGGGGGCACATCCTCTGCAAGAAGCCAGACTGCTGCGTCAAATTGAAGAACAAAGAGGTGGAGGCCAGGTGACCAATTTTTCCTGGGAAACACAACAAAGGACAGAGGGGCAAATGGGCATGACTGAGTGTGGGCTGCTGGAAACAGGACAGTCTCCTTCTTGTGGGTTTTCGAGAGGGAACCCAAGCTCGGGGCCCAACCAAGATGGACTTCGCTGGGACTCCCTGCTTTCTGTGCTAATGAAGAACTTTCTTACCCTGTGTTCCAGACAACTAATAAACCCCTCTCTGTTACAGTTCTGTCTGAGAGTGTCTGCTGATTGTAGAAGTTGGGCGTGCATGCACCCTTTGAGGGCGTAAGGCTTCCCCAGGTGTCCCGTTCAGACGAACCTACTGTGGGGAGCTCATGGCGTGGAATGGGGGTGCTGAAAACTCCGCGGTCAGTCTGAGGAGGTTTTCCCTAGTGAGTGTGTGACCTGAGGGAGTGCCACACTGACAAGGGTCCTGCCTAAGACTAATTCAAAGCTGTTCTAGAGCACTGAATCTGTGTGCCCATGACATCAACTATTGGCTCAGCAGGTGCAGAATGACTGTTGAATGTGCTTTTGGTCATTTGAATGGATGTTGGCATAGTTTACTCACAAAATTGGACCTCAGTGAGAAAAATACCTCAATGGTCTCAGCTGCCTGATATGTCCTGCATAATATCTGTGAAGCAAAGGGGGAAAAGTCTCTGCTGGGATAGAGGGCAGAGGTGGAGCGGCTGTCTGCTCAATTTGAGTAGTCAGATACAACGGCTATTAAAAGAGCTTATTGTGGAACTGTATGGCTTGGAGGCTTTGAAATACTGTTTTAACTCTGAGCCTGAATAGAGTGCTCTACCTGGCCCTGCTCTTTTGTGGCCTGGTGGGAATTGTGTGGTGATTACTGTATATGGGGAATATAACCTTTTCAATGCATGTATTAATTTTGTTTGTGAATGATCCTATGGGTGTGACACTGTGCAGTAACAGGTAGTTGGTTGCTTTCAGAACTGCTGAGCACTCAGCTGCATATGTTCTGAACTAATAAAAATGGGATTGTTGAACCTGCAGGTCTACCAGAGTCTGCAGCATGTGTGTTTTGCTGCCCAAGTAGCCCCATTATATCCTGGTGCATTTGCCTCTCCTTTTACTGCTGGGACTCTTGGGCCTTTATATTCTTCACTCTCTCCTTCTCCAGGCTGTCCGCAATGTCCATCCTCCAGGCCTTGTGCTCATGGTCCCATGCAGCACTAGCTTGCAGGATCTCATTGAACAGATCATCCTAAGTCGTTGTCTTTCTCCCCCTTATCTGGCTCAGGCATTCTGTGGGTGTGGAGAGGAAGACCCTGAAGGCTGTAATGGCAGCACCTCCAGATAAAACATAGAGGTACCGTTGTCAGCATAATTTCTACAGAAAGCATAACTTAAGATGCTGAGCTCACTCCCCTTGCTACCCAAAAATTTTAAGCACTACCCTTTCACTCTTCTCACTTCTGCTTGTGCACCGCACCAGTCACAGCACCAGCCATGGTGAATATGACCCTCTGTGGCTTGGGGAAAGGAGGAGGGAATTGCTTGGTTGCAATTGATTTTTAGTAGAAGAGGGCACTGGCACTGAATACTGGCATTATTTTCCACAGGCGGTGGTGATTTTAGCTGATATCTCATTCCTCAGGGTAACAATGGCAGAGAGAGCACAGCTGCGGCTGATATCCTGACGGTACCTGGTTCCATGTGGTGCACAGCCTGTGTATTGCAATCATGCAATACTGAAGTTATTGTTGAAGTTATTGTTGAGTGATGTGGGAAAGTGTCCTACCTTGGAGGAAGAAATAAGGCAGCCCTCCATAGAAATCTTTGGCAGAGGGTTGCAGAGTACTTCCATGGAAGTTTCATCAAGGTCTCTCAGGAGGATTCAACGGACATTCCTGTATGCATAAACTACTACTCATGCTGTTCTCCACACCCTTCCTGCCACCTAACTCTAGAGGAGAATGAAAAGCAGATAACTCTACCTTTCTTGGTTATACCACTAGCTCTTGTAGCGTGGCTAAATTAAGGAAAAACCAAAAGATGTGTTTTGCGACTCTGGGAATGCCATTCCTGTAGTGAAAGTTTATCTGCACACTTACCTGAGGTTTCTTCCCCTGCATCGGGCTCACCCATGCTAGACTGGCTGGACTTCATTGGAATCAAAAACATGTCCTGGTTCACTGTGTAGCTGGATCTGCCCAGTCGCCTGTCCCATATCCTCCACTACCTCCTCACTGTTGAGAGCAGGGGCCTGTGACTCCCCTGTGCTGTGCATGTGGTGTCTCCGCCACATATGGCATGCAGCTCTTTGTAAAAGTGAGAGATCTGCATTTTAGCACCTGGTCGATTGTTGGCCTTCTGGCATTCCTGCCTCAGCTTCTTGGCTTTCATGTGGCACTGCAGCTAGTCTATGTTGTACCCCTTCTCCTGCATTACCTGAGCAATCTTCTTGTACATGTCGACGTTTCTTTGGGTGGCTTGGACCTGTGCCTGCACAGCCTCTCTTCCCCAGGGCCCATGAGATCCAATATCTCCTGTCTACTTTAAGCAGGCGCACATCTGGAGTGCATAACTGGCATGGTCACCTGGGCAGTTGCATTCAACAATGTAGCGGTGCTAGGTGTCTTCACTAAGCCAGGCAATCAGGAAAAGGAATTTAAAAAATTTACAGGGCTTTAATGAACTTCCAGTCTCCATCAGTGCTGGTGCTAGCCCACTGGAGGCCCGAAGCAGGAATATTTTTGGGGCAGTTTGGGGCAATTATGCCTGGGCTTTTACCTTGGCATAGTTCTCCACGGAGCCTGGCTCCTCCTCCTCCTGTTCCCAGCCCATCCTGGGGTGATTGCCTGGCTTTTTTGTCAGTTTCACAGCTCCAGCATGGAGTGTCTGCATGGACACTGTGTTGCCCTAACTACACTGACATAAGCCCTAAGCCTCTCATGGAGGTAGAGTTATGTTGGTGTAGTAGGGTACTTACATCGGCGGGAGCAAGGCTGGAGTATGTACACTGACCTAATTAGGTTGATGTACATTGCCTGTTATCCCTAATAACTTGCTGTGATCCCAGTAAATGTACAGAGGCACAGGCATAGACTCCGTGGGTGCTTAGCACCCACTGGGGGCGATCAGCTGTTGGCAACTGCCAGTCAGCTATTTAGCATGTGCAACAGCCCTCATCAGCTCTTTGGCTGGCTGCGGCCAGTCAGCTGTTTAGCGGCGAAGTCCTCACCTATCAGCTCTTTCCCCTGCAGCTGCTGAAGCTCCCAGCAGGCTTCCACCCCACTGCAGGCAGGTGTGAGTCCTTTTAATTTTCAGGGCAAAGGGAGCTGGGCTAGGGAAACAAGCAGCCAGGACACGGCAGCTTCTGTGCTAGCTGCGGAGGGGTGGGGGAGACAGCATGGGCAGCTTCTTGGCAGGGGTTTTGGGGGAGACAGACAGGCAGCTTCTCGGCTGGCCACAGGGGACTGCTGGGGGCTGGTTGGGGGTGGGATTTCTCGAGGACCGAGACAGCCATTCTCAGCCCACTTTGGTGTCTCCCCCAGGACCTGTGCCCTGCTCTAGCCAGGAGAAACCAGCTGCAGACCCACTTAGTGCTGGGCAGGGGGACAAACCAAAGGACATGGCTCCTTTAAGAAAAGTTTACCCTTGTGTCTGATGGGTGAACTTGGGCTGGGGCCAGCAGCTCGTCCCCTCCCCATGCTCTGTCCAGTCAGTCGGGTGCGCGCGGCCAAAGGTGAGAGGGGCTTCACTGCAGCCCCAGTCGCAAATGAGCAGCCTCCTCCAGCCCGGACCCTGCCTGTGCCCGGACCCCTCCCTCACGGGCTCTGGGAGCTCCCAACCCCTACGGTTCTGATTTAGGTCCCAGGGCTCCGCATCCCTTCCCCCGTGCATGGGGGGACAGGAGGGGGAACACCCTCCCTGCGGGTTCTTCTCCATGACTGGCTCTCATGCTTGGCAACGTAATGCTTGCCCAGCTGAAAGCTGTTCTCTTCTCTCTCTTTCCCCCCCATGCACCCAATCAAGCCTGCCTGAGGGGCTTTTCCTCCAAGAGAGGAAGTTCCCCCCCCCGCCTTTGGCCATGGTCCCACCAGAGGCTCCCCTCCCATAAAAGTTGCAGAGTTGTGAGGGAGTCAGCGAGTGAACTTCAAAGCTGGGATGGGCTGCAACCCTGGGGACTGGGAGGAACTGGAGTGACACAGCAGCCACACAGCAGGATGAATGAATGGGGCATTTCTATGCCGGGCTGTTGAATTCAATTTCTCTGTGTCAGGGTGGGCAGTTTCTGGGCTGGCCGTTGGGGTTGGGGGGAGACAGAGCTGCTTTGAGTTCATGGGTGGGAGCGGGCGCGAGACAGAACCACCAGGAGGTGGGGAGCAGAGAGAGATGGGGAAAACGGACACAGGTGGAGAGCAAGAAGTGGGAAACATCAGGAAGGGGAGATACCAATGATAGATATACATTCAGTAACTAGAATTAAAGTGTGTAAATATGCTGAAAATAGCCTCCCCTCAAAACTGGCGGAGCACCCCTCCAGCACACACACCTCGTCCTTAAGGCAGGAGGGGTAGAAAGGAGTGAGCGGCAGGTGGGAGGTATTTAGGGGAGGGAGGTTGGCAGGCACGAGGCATTCCGGGAGGTGGGGGAAGTCTAGGGGGATGGGGCAGGAAGAGGTGGAGTGGGGCCGGGGCCTTGGAGGAGGGGGCGGAGCCAGGATGGGGCATCCTCTGGCAAAACCAAAAGTCAGCACCTATGTACAGAGGACAACTTGGCAAATGCTATTCATGGCCTTAATCTTATTCTGTCTCTTTAGATTAGGCCCCACGTGAATTCCAGTGTGCCACTGGAGTGAGTGGGAAAACGTGAATGACATCACTAGGCTTTGAATAGGGTCCTGAGTGAGGAACACAATTCTTCCAAGTCACTGATGAACCCATGGGGAGGGCGAGGGGGAAATACTTTTCCCAGAGGAAGTTTTCTTCCTATTAGAAGAGGTAATCAGACTGACCCCTATGCAAGTCTTGACAAAAGTAATGGCCACAAACTGCATATATCTGATGGAGACCATGGTTTAATGGAGATCATGGTCTGATGGAGACCATGCTGTTTTAATGTCTTAGGTTATGCCAAACTCATACAGCATTCTAGTGACTTTTATGATCAACCCTCAGAATTGCAGGAGGGAATCTGGATGTCAGGCCATCTGTCTTAGCAAAACTAATGTTGTCCTTGCTCTAGTAGAT